TATACTATATAGTATACTATATAGTATACTATATAGTGTACTGCTGGATATTTTATCCTGTAATATTCACGTGTAAAAACAATCTTAGCATCCACTGCTAGATAATAGAGAGTTGTATAGCCAACAAATATTGCAGCATCTGGTACATCTCGCAGTAATTTTTTATTTTGTTTTGACTGCCATGATGGTCATTCATGATCGGCGTTATCAAAATTTTTTTAAACGCTTGTAAAAGATAAAAACGCCATTAATATATATTTAATATACAATTTTACATGACACAATTAACTAAATAACACTGTAAAATTATAAAAAATGCGTTATTCAACATGGCACTCATAAAAATGCAGTCTTATATAATCATATCATATAATATTTTATCTTATATTCCTACGGCATGGACAATGAAAAAAGTGGCCCAAAAAATGGCCCGTTTTTTGGGCCCGCGATTTTGAGACTGAACTGTGTGCCAAATGATACCTTATCATGAGACATTAATTATTGAGAAGTTTCAAGTTGAGGTGACAATTGTTATCAGAGCTGAAGGAAGGAGGGTATGAAAAGTTTATTATGGAATTATCACATGTCTGCGAAGTCCGGTATCTTAAGAAGATTGATCCAGCCGATGAAGGTTGATTGTAGTATTTTCCGTAAATAACGCTTTGGATGTAACAAAATCGACTTTTAGCATAAAGAGACGTAATAAGTGACGTAAAGAGACGTAATAAGTGATCCTTCCTCCAGCTGTGATAACAATTGTTACTTCAATCTGAAACATCTCCGTGATTAATATCTCATTAGAAGGTACTATTTGGTACACAGTTCAGTCCCAAAATCGAAGGCCCAAAAAAAAAACGGGCGAAAAAACCATCTAAAAAGGTCACTCTTTCACTGTGGCGCACACGGTGGAAGAAGACATACAAAAATATTTGCTGGGCAACGCGTTAACAGAGAAATCGGACGCAATATTATCTCAATTATCTCGTATCGCAGATCGAGGAGTTAGATCTGTCGCATTGCAAGCTGATGGATAACGGTGCACACGCCGTGGGCGCATTTCTGTCGATGCACCGGAAACTGAGGATTCTGCATTTAGCAAACAACAATATAGGACCGAACGGAGTTTCCGGTATCGTTCACGGATTAATGAAAGCAAGCTCGACGGCTTTAAAAAATTTGGATCTCCGATTGAATCCTCTGGAAAATGAGGGGACTAATCACATATGCGCACGTAAGTTCGTAAACATATTGCAGTATTGTTTTTCATTGATAATATTAAATAACGAATAAAATTCGCATTTTTCAATTCTGTTCGGGTATTAAATTATATTTTCATTTCATATTTTATCACTGTAAAAAATTCAGTTGCACAAATTGAAACCAGTAAGTCTGTTGGAAAATAAATAAATCAAAATTCTTCTAAAAATTATCATAAGAGTATAATTTTTTTCCTGATTAAATTTCTCGATAATGAAATCGAGTTGATACTAAAATCGAGTTAAATCAGCACAACTTTTTAATGAAAAAAAACATAGTGAATATAACATATACAAAATTTTAAAGATCTATAACCGAAAATACTAACCAAATCCTTGTAGTCAAGTCTATAAATGTTCTATCTATAAAATATCGAGTCGATAATTACAAAAAATTTTGTTTGATCTCAAAATACATTCAATTCTATATATATATATATATATATATACACAATTGTGTGTGTGCGCGCGCGCGCGCGCGCGTGTGTGTGTGTGTGTGTGTGTGTGTGTGTGTGTTATTGATATATTATAATCAAAATATTTTTCTCCGTAATTAAGTAAAATTTTCTAATAAATTAATAATAAGGTTAATATTTAATCATTTCATTACACTAATTAAGTAAGATCTAATTTTTATTTAATTTTGATAGAAAAATTCAGATCAGTTATTCAAATCTTTATACAAGATAGAGAATAAACAAAATATTTAAAAAATATTTCAGTTGACTTTTAAAATTACATAGCCTTGGAACTTTAGAGATAACATTCTATATGTCAGAAAAGATTTAACTCTCGCTGAATTAGAACAGCTGCACGATGAAGAGATTGACGAGTTTTTAAAGAAATATTTAAAGACGTCGAAAACTTTCTTGTGGGGCATGAATATTATAACTTAGTAGCGAGTGCAAATACATTAAAATTCACTGGATAGCTTTTAACTTATAAGCTCTCAATAAGTTTCATAACTTTCTTTTTTTTTTTTCTGAAAAACTGAGAAATATTTGTACGTGATAATAAATTCAGTATCTTTATAAATAATATGAATAAACTGATGTTTCTCACACGTTTTAACGAAGAATATAAATAATAACATTTAAATTTATATTTCCAATTACAAATAGTACATATAATCGGCAACAAACAATTCCATCAATTTTTAAATAACTTCCTACAAGTAAAATAACAATAAATGTAGATAGATGCGATTATAGAATAAACGATTTCACAAATAATTCTCTCTCTCCATCCCCTCTCTCTAATTTGGATATATCAAGATAGATCTTTATTTGTTTGGAAAAATGTAGCGCTACTCCGGAGATTATCCAGTGGTTTTATACAGAATTCAGCGCCCGAGTAATACAAACCTCGTCGAGATAAATTGAAATTTAATGTTGCGTGCGATGCTACTTTATTCCGAGCACTAGTTTACGGATGCGTTGCATTTTCGCCGAATAATGGAAATATCACGGATTTCGCATCCAACACCATTCTCTCTTTCAAGAAAAGATAATAAATTATTTACCAACATACGTATATGTACGGGACAAATCAATGATAAAATCGGATTTGAAAATTTATAGTTTCTGCATTTGCGAATTTAATTTTTACGACTGTAATGAGTGCCAGCAAGAGGGAATTTATATATATATTCGAAGAGAATTAAGAAAATAATGAAATTTAATAATGGAGATTTTCTTCTTTTTAAATATGTTTACTAAATTCGTCTGAGATATTAATGACGTTTTATTACCGGAAAATGCTTAAGGCGATGCCATGGCAGATCGGAATTACCGACATTACAGTTATATGAATATCTCCAAATTGATTGAACGGAATTGAAAATCCTTTCACAGGATTGAAGTAGACATGAAATGTAGTGGTGGGACGAAGGAACTTGTAGTAAAAACAAAAAAAAAATAATAAAAATTATTTTCATTTTTACTACAAATTTCTTCGTCCCACCACTACATTTCATGTCTATTTCAATCCTATGAAAGGATTTTCAATTCAATCAATTCGGAGATATATAACTGTAACGTCGGTAATTCCGATCTGCCAGCATCGCCTTAAATATGTAAATGTGAATGTCCAAGGCTAAAGAATTCAGATTAAAAGGTGTCGTTGTCTTGAATTTTATTTTAAAACATCGCGTAACATTTAATTGCCTTGATCATGGACCGAATGAAAGCTATCGTGATTGACCTCGCTGCACGAAGCCGCACTGCTTACTGTCGACTTTCAAAAACTGAAAAATTCACAATTCCATATAATTTCGAAAATTAACATAGGGAGAGAAGGGAGGAGCGACTCGCAGGTCGAAAGCGTGGCATAAGCAGCACGCTGAATTATTTAAATAAATGCAAACGCTGAACAGCAGATCGCGGCATGCGCGTGCATACAAATCGCATGTTATAGCACACGGAACGTGACTGAAACTCTCATATAAAAATGCATGAAAGGGCAATAACACCTATTAGATACAAAATCATTGCCGCAATTTCTTGAAGATGTGTCTCCAGATATACGTTCATACCTGCTCATTACAAAATTATAGCCTGAATTCTACATTTATGAATAAAAATTCCCAGAAAATAGGGTGCTAATCTTCGATCTTAGTCATTTCTTTAGATGTAAAACTTCGCTTAATGTTCAGATTATATGAAAAAAACATCTTAACACTATATAGAAGTACCAAGATGGCTTATTCACTAAAAGAATAAAAAATGACTATAAAAATAAAATGATAAAAAGTATTTTCAACCACGACCAAATATTTCATCAGTGTATAAAGAACATCAGCAAAAGTCATGAAAAGTCAAAAAATTTCAAAATTCCATCTTTTATATATGAAATATTATATATATAAATAATTTTTTATAAAGAAAAACAAATATTAGTCTACAAATAGAAACAATCAATAATGATCGCTCGTTATTTTTAATGTTAACAGAAAATTATTAAATATGATATAATAAATAAAATAATATAATAAAATAAGATATAATAGAAATGGCAGAATGTGTGTGTTATTGTGTTGCTTTAACGTAAGATATACATATTATAAATTTAATATTTAAATATAGTAATTTTACTTTGATAGTTTTGTTTTCATAATCTGTCTGTACATTTTTTATATTATTTATAATAATTTCCTTGCAAAAATATTACTCATTTACAAGAGATCTCCATCTATATCTTGTTAATTTGTTTCATTTTCAGTTCTGGTGAGAATCAAAACTTTGGAAACATTGAATATCAGCGGCTGCGAATTAGGTCCGGAAGACGGCATAGCGCTGGCCGATGTGCTCTCTTCCGGTTGCGTGGAACTCGAAGTCTTATCTCTCGACGTGTCAAACAATAATTTTGGATTTACCGGTATTAACAACAAAGTTATCCTTCTATATACAATTTATCTTCTTTCGAGAATATTATTTTAATAGCAATATAACAATTGAAAGGCTTGCTACAACAGTGAAGGGTCAGCTCACATATTGTAACAATGGAGAAAATAAACTCTAAAGTGATGAACTTTGAAGTTTATTTGCTCAGTTTTTATAAAATGTTATAAAATGTGTGTTATAACTCACTGTTGCAGCAAGTCCTTTTATATAATAGCAATGTATCGAAAAAAAAAGATAAAAACATTTTAGAGACAGATTCTTAAAAAATTTCTAAAAATCATATACGTGAGAAAAAATTGATAATCGCGTACAGAAACCAACTATGCAAACTGTGGTCTGGAAATTGTTAAGGAACCATCACTTATTATTTTTATCATTGCGCAATTATCTTAACGGTTTAGATTGCCTCTCGAAAGATTTGTATTCTCGAAAAAAAAAAAACCGGCAATAAAATTTGTTCCAGCTGGAGAGTCATTCGAGGCGGCCGTGAGCTCATGCCCGTACATTATCCACTTGGATGGTCGAATGTGCAATTTCTCGAAAGAATCGGAATGCTCGATCACCGAGAGCGCGCACAGGTGAGGCCCGGTGATTATCGCGAGATAAAAACGTTTCGCTTCCTTTTTTTTAAATTTATTTAATTTTCGCGCGACCTCGTTCTTTCTAATGTGCAGTATATATCCTTTATGTTTTGTTTCGGCCGCGCTTTCCCAATTCTACGCACGTAGGTACGTAGATGCCACACGTTGCTCCCAAGATAATACCGTAAATTTAATAAATCTGCAGGAGAGCGAAACGACGATCGAAATGTCGTAGGTGCACACTCTGTCGGCAATATATAAATTTCCGTCGTATTCCGTAATACTTGACTTTATTGGCAATTTTATATGCAAACTTCCACGTTCGGCCCACGTGTGTTCGCTCTCGTATAACGTACGTCACGATTTATTAAGACAGGCAAAAGGATTGTTATGTTCCCGAGAGAACTCGCGCGATTTCTACCGTGCTGCGCGACATAATTTTCACACGCTCCAAATTTATATTAATTTCCAACTGCTGGCTGCTTCGTGTTTATGTCACGGGGATGTTCGTGCAGCAGCGTCCCAAGTTATATCAATCATTTTCCCTTAATATTTCTTTAAATGGGAATTAAAATCCAATTAATATATCATAATCAAATAGTGAGTTAAACCCAATTGGCCGTCGTTAATTGGTCAAATTTGGTAAATTTAATACAAAATTTTCTGATTGGTTGGAATGGAAAAAACTCCAAGCATCGATCGCTATGAGTGGCTGAGGTCGCGATGCAGTCAAACGGGACGCCCTTTCAAATGGCACTCGGTAAAATTTTTATTAATAAAAACACGTTCAGTGTTTTATCCGCCGTTTCATGTTACGAGGATTACGATAGACGGGTGGTGACAATTCCTACGATATTCCGACATTTCCCTCCTCCAGTCAACATCGTCGCGTGATAGCCGTTCTGGGTCTTTGGGGGTTGCTTGCAAGCTGCGTTTGCAAATCTCATTACGCGCGAAAGGGCAACACGATCGCCGTCAGAACGGAACAGGTCGTCAACTCCGGATGCAAGCAGTCCGACGGGAAGGCGACGAGCCTTGTCGTGCTTGGCCGCACGCCAAGCCGTTCGACGAACAAGACAACTTTCTTTCTTAATAGAACAACGTGTCTCTTTGTATCGGGAATCGTTAATCTACATCGTTAATCTAAATCGCGTGTGCGATCGATTATCGGTAGCCAAGAATCGCGCAAGATCCACCATCCGGTGGAAAAAGGAGGGAAGAAGAGAGAGAGAGAGAGAGAGAGCTTCTTGCTGTTAAACTCGGTTGCTACATGTCTATTTAGTGCGCCTCGTTTCCAGTCCGGCGCTAATTTAGTCAATCGATTTATCCGTTTTTTTTCTCTTTTTTTTTAGGAACGCACACGCGGTTATCCTCGCTCTTCTCTCTCTCTCTCTCACTCTCACTATTTGCCGTTACACCGATCTCCCGTTGATCGCGTCTTCCATGCACCTTTAACCTATTGACGCCGTTGTTCGCACACTGCGTAATATGTATAAACATATCAAGGATCCTCACTTGTGAACATGTGGCCCTGAGGACCGACTGTGCACATATGAGATGCGCAATTCTATGCGTCCAGAGTAATCGTCGTTGATTAACAATAGTCAACAAATGTGCATTGCACGTCAAGAATTTAATATCAGAAGAATTGAAATTAATCTCTTCCGACATAAAACGTCTATCTTATTTTTAAACAATTCTTTATGTAAAAATTAAAAAAAAACAGAATATTCTTTTTTTCTCATATTCTCCGATAATATTACATCTATTTATTTCAAATCTCATTTCTTAAAGATTTGAAAATAAAAAAGTAAACACAATTTATCATAAATTTGATAATAAAATTGTCTTATTCATATTTTTAAAAAACTGACAGTCATTATACTTCGACATATTACACTCCCGTTTCTATAATCGTGAAACGTGAAACTCCTCTTCAACGTATTGTGCGCGTTTATCTTCCACCGGGCACATTTTCCAATTTATTTTATCGCGATGAGTTATTGCCTTCGCGGTTGCCGTTGTAAATGTCTGCACACGCCACGTTTACGCAGGAATAAACAAAACATGAAAAAAGAGAAGGACAAGACGGCGTTTTTCCAAAGCAGCAATGTCTATAATTCACCCAGCGCCAAGAATCTGCAACAACAGCCGGAAGTTGGGTCGTCATTCCCTGCAGAGCCAAAGGATATTGTGCAACGTTTCTAGGTAGACAAATCGATGCCGGTAAGAGTTACTGCACTGCTTTCTATATACGTTATTGCTTCGTCTTGATCCATTCACAAAATACGCAGTTATACGACACATAAAAGTGTCATCAATCCAAGAGCAAGAGTATCATCAACCTACTTTTATCATGCTTCTCAATTGACTTTAGAGAACTATACGCACACATTTTTGTAAGCGCGACTTACATACTAGGGCTAGTATATATTCATAGTCCGTTCTTATATTTAAGATCGTCTTAAGTACAGTCTTAAAACATAAACCATTCACAGAGCCAAATCAGCATCTTAACCCATTAAGTCCCAGGAAACCCCTTCGCGCTTTTCTGTTTTAAATTCTTAACTCACGTCCTAATTAAAATTTTTAGAACGCAATTGATATTTAAGAATAAAAAGAGTTACTTTTTTCGAAAATCTAGTCGGCAATGGGGTGAAATATCTGAAAAAGATATTAAGGTTGAAAGTGGAAATAAAAAAGTAAGTGGTTTCTATTTTCTCACCGACAAGTATTCAATCAATAAATTATTTTATCTACCTTTTTGAATAAAAGACATCAGTATAATTATAATAGATCACTCAAGTAATAATTATAATTATATCAATTTATTCTGTTAAACTTAAATAATTTAATTATATACTATAATTATTATAATATATAATTATAACTTGAGATAAGAACAGACTATGAATACCGCCGGTCTGTCTTGTTTCTTCTAATTTTCTGTATATAGAATATTTTTTTATCTAGAAGGATTTGTTGTACTTATTTGTTGTGTTTACTTCAACATAAAAAATATTTTAATTTAATAAATTGCATCAAACATTTCTTGGACTTAAAAAATGTCACGCAATAATATTCGAGATAAGATTTAAACGCAATATAAAATTTAATTAATCACGGAATAACAGAAGAGCAGAAAGAGGAGAAGATGAAATCAGTTCTCAAGACTCAACGTACAAGTGGCCCCGTCTATTAGGAGAAGATGAGCTCTTCTGGTCATAGAAAATTTAAGACACCGTTTAGATAGCGACGCCACGATGTCTCCAGAAGAGTGCTTACCAGTCGAGTTTTCAGGTAATAAAACGAAGACGATGGTCCATATACAGACTCCGAGAAACACCGCCAACTCTCTGATTCCAATCAATAAATCCACTTTTCGAAGATCAATATAACATACTTATTAAGTAATGAACTCTTTAAACAGTAAAAATAACAAAATTTTAATTTAAAAATAAACTCTTTAAACAATAAAAGTGACAAAATTACAGTTTATTTTGTAACAAATGACTATGTCCTCTCTGTTGTTTATATCTATTATACTGTATTTATTTATTTTTTATCTTCTATCTTGTCCTGCGATTTTTATATCTAATAACAACAGAAAATACTGTAATCAGGAAGAACAAATAAATAATTCTTTACTTTCATAGATTGATTTAGTATATATTGTAAATAGTAACAATATTAACAAAAAGTATAATTCAGTAACATAAAAAGTGTATTTTTATGATAATTTTTTTATTTCATGAAAAATGTCGCTCTTTTAAAGGAAAATTAACATTTCTCAATTATTCCTCGGTTTTTTTAATCGACTAGACTAATTGAATCATCGAAACACTTCAACAATTTAAGCAAATATTATTCCTACCTCAAGTAATGAAATAGCAATTAAATGATCGAGAATTTAGAAATACGCGGCGATAACGCAAACGTCACACGAACATGCTAGATACATAATGCGATGACGAATATGACGTAATGTGAACTCGTGTAACGCCGATAATAATGCGTCCTTTATTACGCGTATGTGATGAAGATTGCATTGTCAACGAAATCAGCAGTTGCGCCGGACTATCCTGAATAATATCTATGTTGTCATTGTACGGAGTTGCAATAACAATTTCTGTGTTATACGCATCTTTCCGACGAGCGCGACAATCGCCTGGACGCGCGCGCGCGTGTATACCTACGCCCTAATGAATGACAAACCGAAAAAATACGTACGTGCTTCCTGCACGAAGTTGCGGAGCGCGGAACAGTGAAATTTGCGTCACCATCCGTCTGCGACCGTAACACCCGAGATCGCCCTCGCAAAAACTTTTTATCGTAAAAAGTAAAAACGCCGTAAATGGCGTAAATAATCAGAACGAGCAGAAAATGTGAAACACGAGTTCGTCATGCTGCCATTATAATTGCAAAGCAAAATGAAAAATTGTATTTTAAACTGTTCATCATTGTATGCAATTTACTTGTATCATTCATGAAACCAACACATTTTATTTCCGCAATTATAACTTGTTCCGCTCAATAAGCTTCTTCCAACGCTCACAAACGCTCCACTTCTCTTTAAATATCGCTTTTAATATATCATCACTGACATTAATAACATTTGCTTCAATTTCCACAACTAATAGACTGCAAGGATACGTTTCGTCCAATTCGGTACAGCTACTTTTTCACCCAGATAAAACGGGAACTCCCTGCGGTGACTTTTAAACCAATTCCGAAAACAAAGCTCGAGCACTAGGTAGTTAAAACAGTAGCGGTGTTCCGGTTCAAGTGAAGTTCGCGTGTGAATCTAGCTCGAATCAATATTAACCACGTTCGCCGCGACTTGCGGCTTTTATTTTCGATCTCCACCCACATTGTCCAGCGAAAAGGGAACGAAAAAAAAGGAAAGCTCTCTGTCTGTATATTCCCTCTTGTTCCTTTTTCCTCTACCTTATATATATATATATATGTATATATATATATATATATATATATATATGTATATATATAAATAAAAAAAGTTTGGTAGAGGAAAAAGGAACAAGAGGGAATATACAGATATATATATATATGTATAAATGTACGTATGTACATCCACACACATATACACATATATGTATATTTGCTCATGAATGAGTGATTTCATCTAACTTGGCACGGTCTAGTTATCGTCGTATGCGAGGCCGTAACCATGCGGCGTATTGAATCTCACGAAGATGCCATTGATCGCCGAACATTCCGATCCATTCTCCCGTTCGCGATTGCAGTTTTTATCTCTACCCCGGTATAGCCATCTCTCGCGCGAGTCGTAATTGAACATCCGTGCACATAGGATGAGTCGCTTCGTCGATCCGCTTGGCAAAAATCCGTGATGTCTTTCTTGCCATTTCAAATGACGTAAATAAAATTCAAACGAAAGAAAGATATCAAAGAAAAATATATTTAGAATATGCATGAAACATACTTTGCATATAGAATTTCCATTAGCCAACGGAAGATGTTGTTTTTAAACAAAAGGGGAAAATTTTTGAGATAGTCTGTGCATTTTCGCTAATTGTAACAGGAAGTATATCGAAATTTTGACAATGGAATGCCAACTTCACAAAGGTAAAAGTCAATTCCATACTGAGAAAAAATGTTTAGTATTTCTGACTATAATTTCATGGCAAAATAATTAAAAGCTGAATTTTTATAATTATTATACCATTACATATAATGTTAATAACATAATAACTAAATAATAATTATATTTATAGTTCTACTAATTATAAAAAAATTCTATTGTAAATCATAAATTATGAGTTCAAAAAATAATATAAATATAGATGGCAAATAGAATGGATTTATAATTACAATTTTTATAAAATCGTAATTATAAATGCAATTATAATAAATATAATTATTTATTAACATTCGCTTAACATTTACATGATAATAATTAAAAATGTAAAAAAAAAACAATTATTTTCACAATATAGATTACATAATGCAACTATAGTTGTAATTGTCGTAATGCAGTTGAAGCAGCTATAATTTACATGATTAAAATGACTCTAAATTACAGTTAAATTATAATAATTTACAACAATACAAATATTTTTACAATTAGTACATCTTCGAGGAGATTGTCAACGAAGTCAAAGCGCCGCCGCTCAATTGGGACATTTCGCGCGAAAATCTATCGAAATGACCGTACAAGCTACATCGGGCGGATTCACAGGAATCACGTTTCCACGCGTTGTAACTACATGTAACAAGCGGCCATGTGTATGTACTCTCGTACACGGCCGATATCGGCGTTCGCATGCAAAATAGTATTTAAAGCGCGGCCTCGCACGCCTAGCAGCTTCGGCGTAGGTATCGTGTATATTTCACAAGCCCGAAAATAAAGTTTCCGCCCGTGAATGTGCTCTCCCGGGAGCGTGAGGGCCTATCCCCGCTATAGGCCACCAGAAATCGTTCGGTCGGTTTGTGTTTCCGCGACCTTACTCCTCGCTCCTCCTGCAATTCCAGACAATCTGGCCGACTTACAGAAGTATCTGGGGAAATCCGTTGTTTAAACAACTGCAAGATAGAGAGAAAGAGAGAGAGAGAGAGAAAGTTGGAAATCTTCCTGTCCGTCCCACGGGAGACGACAGAGTTGGCTTTCAGCCCCGTTGATCTCGGTCTCCGCGCATTTAGCAAATTGAATGAAGACTGCACATTCGGGCGTTCGACAATTGAACTGATTTTTAAAGTTTTCCTATATATTTTAGATCCTTCGACGGATTATTCGACGTTTCGGGAAAATATTTTACACGTGTTTGTCCCTCTTAGAAACTTGAAATTTACTAAAAATATTTTCTTTATTTAAAAAAACCATTTATTCTGTAAATATCTACTGTGCAGATTTACATAATCCATGAAAGATCTGAGAAAGATCAATAAAGTCGATTGTACGCCAAGTAGAACATGACGTTCGCTAAACAGATTTTAAATTTAGAAAAGAATATTTATAAAACTAACGATATAAACGACGACTTTTGCGTATTGAGATTTGCGTTTAAGAAAACGTAACGTTAAATTTGCTAAATCGCGACACGACACTGCGTACTGACAACGTGTTTATACGTGTATTGAAGTGTACTGGCGTCGGTCTGATGTGCGAGTGGTAGCATTTCGCATATGAAAGACGTACAAACAGCGACTAAAATTAAACACGTGCCAACGTCAAATCCGACAAACATTTGGCAAACGAACTGCTATAAGCGCTTAGAAGCAAGCGAGAGCGATACGAATTTCTTATCTCGCCGCAAGACAACGCGGATGATATTCCGTGCGCAGAAACGTCATCCGCAAGAATTATTAGACGAGTTTCGCGACGCGCAACGGTAGCAGAAGTCCCAGTTGGGACTTTATCGCGAGTATAACGTGTAACGGGAAACGACGTGTGCATATATGCACACGCGACACGAATTTAATAGCCGATGGCACCACAAATTTAACAGAATTTGCACAACGCGTTCCCGTAAATATCTCGAAACGGCCGTTTCACGTCCCGAATCGATGTACCGTCAAAAACCCTGCCGTGCAACTTCTTCACGCCATCGCGTGCCAATGATATCGGTATTTCGACGGCGAATGTTAATCCCGCGACGCGCTGTCCAATTTCCTTACCGTGTAAAATACATATGCGCACAATGCAATTTGGAGTAATGGCTAAACGACCACCGCGTGATCGATACGAGCCTGCCTTGTAATTAATACAGCGGCAGGGATTGAAACCGACGTAAGTTCCGGCATGTCGGTTTTCAGCTGAAGCACGCTGTAAAGCAGTACCCAGATGATCTTCGACGAAAGGATTTTTCACCGAACTATCGTCCAAACATTCCGGGACATTTTTCCACCAAAAAGATAATTATCAAAATTCATTCTTTTAAATTTTTAAGTATCAAACGCCTATTTATTGTGACTCACTGTCAAGTTTTTGTCGAATAAAAGAGTAACCCAAAAAAGGTGGTTTTTTTCGCCCGTTTTTTTTGGGCCCTCGATTTTTTGGGACTAGACTGTGTGCCAAATGGTACCCTATAATGAAATATTAATCACAGAGAAGTTTCAGGTTGAGGTGACAATTGTTATCACAGCTAGAGGGGGGTCACTTATTATGTCTTTTTACGCAAAAACTCGATTTTTTACATCCAAAACAAGCGTCATTTACGTAAAACTGCGATTAACCTTCATCGGCTAGATCAATCTTCTTAAGATACCGGACCTCGCAGACATGTGATAATTCCATAATGAACTTTTCATCCCCTCCTTCCTTCAGCTCTGATAACAATTGTCACCGCAACTTGAAACTTCTCTATAATTAATGTCTCATTATAAGGTATCATTTGGCACACAGTTCAGTCTCAATCAAGGGCCCAAAAAACGATCAATTTTTTTTATCACTCTTTTGTTAAATTGATTGAATTCTCAAGAATGTATGGTTTTTTTCAAATTA